TTATGTCTGTACCTATGCAGGGGGAGCTGTTACTTGGAGTTCAAAGAAACAGCCCACCATAGTCTTATCCACTATGGAAGCAGAATATATGGCCCTTGCACACACAACCCAGGAAGTAATTTGGCTACAAGCACTCTTAACCAAATTAGGATTGCCACCTTACAAAGCGATGACTATTTTTGTTGACAATCAATCAGCAATCAAATTCACTGAGAACCCTATATTCTATGCATGATCGAAGCATATAGATATACAGCATTACTTTGTTTGTGAGCACATGGCTTCAAACAAAGTCAAAGTTCAGCATTGCACATCAGAAGAGAACTTAGCGAATATATTCACTAAAGGCCTACCAAGACCATTACATGAGTATCTATCTGCAGATATTCTAGGAACTTGGAATTGAGAGGGAGTGTTGGGATAGCAATCCCAAGTGAGTACAAGAACGTACTCGAAGATACGATGCCAGTCAGTGGCAGCTGACTTGGATTGTGATCTGGACTTATTTAGTATCTCATAGAAAGATCTCGAAGTAATATGAAATGTATTTAAGTAGAACATTTCTCTCTCAAGAGGCTAATACTAGTTCTCTGTTACATTACTCTGCTCTCTACTTACAACAAGAAGAAACCATGCTAGTGCTTTTGTTTCCCACAGACAAAGATCACCAAGCACAAATCGGGCATTTTTCCATGTCATCGAAGCGACAACTGAATATGATAAGTGAAAACAATATTGGCATGTGTCCAGGTACTTGTTGCTCAAAGCAATGGAGATGATGGACAAAGATATAGTCCTACAGTTGGAGGAAGCCAAGGAATGGATGTCAGACACCAGACACTACTGTCATCACCTCAGTCATGAATAAAAGCTGCCAAAGATGTCTAATAAAATCAAGATACATATATTCTCTAAGCGAAAGAGAAGCGATAGCAAGGATAGCAGAGGCAAGGACGACAGCAGTGGATTCAGTGAGGCAAAGTACTCTGATGGGAAATAGCAGATATTCCTCATGCAATGAGCTTCAAAGTCCATGCCTAGTGACTGATGGTTCTGAATGGGTGCAGGATAAAGGGTTTCCAGTTATAAGTGACTCGGCTTCACAGTGCCATTGCGCTGAGGCCATTTTCAATAGCTGTGAATCTTTCGACAGCTTTGTCGATCTTGATGCACTTTGCAGGGTCAGGTTCTACTATAGCTATCACAAGAGCTTCATAAAACCAAACAACTTCATTCCTCAGAGCCCTTTCTGAATCTTGTAGTTTGCCAGGGTACCCCAGAGTGCTGATTATGAGTTATGGCTGCAGTCTCAGCAGGTGTAACCGACCTCGGGCAGGAAGGCTCTCAGCGCATTGCTATCAATAGCAAATGGGTTACAGAATATCATTGGGTCAGCGATGGCCTCTGGTACCATTTGATCACCTCCAAGAGCAGGCTCTGCAGCAGAAAGATCATCAGCATTGTAATGATTGGAAAGACTGAAATCGATGAAGTAATATTTTGGTGGTCATTCTATGTCGGTAGTACAATGTCAGACCAGAATAATCATATTTCAGATCCCTTCACTGAGGATGAAAGCTACCTGAGAACACATCCATAGCATCCATAGATATGTCCATATATCCTCTGTCACTGCAGCAAATTTTAGCATAGACCATACTTCTCTAATCTAACTTTTGGGGCTCTTACTGATGTGCTGATGGTTGCAATTTGGGAGATATGACTTCTGATAGAGCCATCAAATAGGCAAAGTTGCACAAGAGGTATGAGTTTAGTCAGAATATTATTATCAACTATGTACTTGGTATCAACAAAGCAATGGCTAGATTCAGAGTCAATAAGGGCAATGAAGCACAGAATGATGGAGATTGGAGACCTATCAAGCTCCAATCCAGAAGAGAGTTCTGCTGAAAAGGGAGCATGGAGAGAATGATTGGAGAGAGATGTTGTATTGAGAGTGATGACCTCTGGTATGCAAATAGAGTCAATGCAACCCTGAACTTGCACAGAGCAAATAGGGTTGCTTCCTAGTTTTCTGACTCTGATGGAGCCAGTTCCTCAGAAGCAGAAACTTCAACTTCAGCTGCATGACCTTTAGCAGAGGCCAACACTTTCTGCTTGCTGCATTCCTCAGTCTTGTTCTTACCACCATAGAATATGCAGAAATTGTTTTGGTGGTGGCAGTCCTTTTTTTCCTGTGTAAGACAGCTGTCTTTGCCTAGCTTTTCAGCATAGGGCTTAGAATTGGAGGTGGACAGATCCAGAGACTGTTGGAAAGATATTTGATTGAGATTTGAAGCTGGAGGAGAAGGAGTTGTGAAAGGTGCTTGAGGCTTTGCAGAACATGCATTAGATTTTTAGAGGAGACATATACAATTAAAAGATTAATTGCATTTTTGGGAAGCCCTGGATTTAGCTATGAGTTGATGAGTCAGGTGATAGGTGCTCCTGGTCTGGAGGAGACAGCTAGGTAATAAAAGATAACTAGAGTGTGTAAATTATCAGATGCTTAATTATTTTGAGTACATACTCAAGGTATTCCTCTTTTGCCAAATACTGAGGAGCTGATTGTCTCACCAGAACCAGAGAGTGAAGGTGATGCTCATGATGATGCTGCCTGTCAGAGTAATAATCATCCAAAGTGTCATCTATTGCTCTTACCAGTTTCCTCATCATTACTCAACAAGCATCTTCAAGCTCACAAGGTGATGGGAATCTCATAGCTTGTTATTGACAATCTGCAGTAATACATAAGTACTTGTCAAATAATCAAACTGTTCTAGGGAAAACACAGTCATAGATATTCTGCATCATAGGCAGATACTCTGGATCTGTACTATTGACTGCATTACTGGCCTGCCTGATTGGACCACTCTTCAACGACAACTGGTTGCAGCCATTAAACAGGAAGAAACAGAAAAACAGAAATCATTAGATAAGAGTGTGACATTGTCAAGTTGCAACTCTGAGATGTTGAAGAAGCAATGGCTGGGGTGCACACATTTGTTTGATCCTTGTTCTGCCTACTAACTTAGTGGTTGTTATATCCAGTACAAAGATGCACACTATAAGATTTGTCTGACAGCAACAATCTTGATTTGTGCCTTATCAAGTAAGATACACTGACAAATCTTATGGTGTGCATTTTTATACTGGATACAACAACCACCAAGTTAGTAGACAGAACAGTGAACAAATGTGCATACTCCAGCTATTGCTTCTTTGCTATCCTGGAGTTGCAACTTGACAACATTACACTTCTATTTAATGATGGCAGTCTTTCTGTCACTCTCCTGTCTAATAGCTGCAAGCTCTCTATGACTCTCCTCTCTAACTGCTGCAATTTGTTGTTGAACCACTCTGATCAATGTTATGCTACTACTAAACACCTATAAATATCTGGCACTGCTAGTACCAGGGTTTACTTCTGTATCAGAGAGTTTAGTAGGTGTATTGAATTTTAGCTTGAGACTGAGGTATATTATTATAGGCTACTGTCTCAAATACTTTGTCTAAAGCTCTTCATTCTACAGATGACTATTATCCCATTTTCATGTCTCCTACTCATTGTTTTAATGATAATAACTGCATTCATGCCTCTGGGCATCATTGTCTTTCTGCAATGTCATTGCTATAGCAAGTTTCCTATGTATTGCAGTGTCTATTATGAAAAAGGTGTGGGATAGTGATGGTCAGCATGCCATTCCTGGCTGCTTATTGTGTGATTGATGAATAAAACACAGCTATTGTGTTATTATAGTATTGTTATCCATAGTTCTATATGGTTATCATGAGATATCTTTATGGCTGAGATCATACTGCAGTCAGGATTGATCAGACTTTTGTAAGTGTCAGCTTACTAAGCATCAGCAAGTTATAATTAGGGGTGAAAATCATGATATTGCCTCTTTCTCAAGGCAATCATCCTTGATTACTTAAAGCAGCTCAGAGAACAAGACATAAGTCTCATTCTTTTCCTTGATTTTGATAAAGATATCATGCATTCTGTTCAAAAAATGCTTTTGTTCTGTGAAGGTTTCCACCTTTATTCCATTAATGTCCTTTCATATGTATAACTTTTTGCCTTTGAATGGTTGTCATTTTTATTCAAAAGAAAGCTTTTAGATTCTGACATAGTTAGTTTTGTCAAATATCAGTCACTTTATCAGAGCAAAGTTGATCACTGCAAGTGAGTTTTATGCTGTGTGGTATTTTGCTATAAGCTTTTTGGCATGAGAGGTTCTTCTTGGCATACCAGTGGTTTTCTTTATTGCCATGTCCTTTGAAATAGACCAAGAACCACTGTTTTCAATAATGGATTTTATCATCAAGAGTTGCATTAATTTTATATTCATCTTTATCATTGACAACTATCAGTTTAAGTAGTAATAGTGTCTGCTGATTGGGAAACTCAGCTGGTTAAAATAGCTTGAGTAAGTTTTCATTGAAGACTGAATTATTTTTCATGTCTTTGGAATAAACAATTTATATATTCCATTGTCTACTTTCTTTATGATCTTGAAAAAGCCTCTATGTTTGTCATCCAATTTCTTCATCATTCTGTCAGCTTTTAGGTTTTTCATGTTTAGCATGATCTGATCTCCTGCATGATACTCTCTTGCTGGTGATTTCTTCTTATCATACTGTTTTTTCATTGAGTTGGCAGCTCTGTTCAGAGCCTGTTTCATCTCATTATAAATTTTCTTTATATCATTTATAAAGTCCTTTGCTCAGAGTACTTGACTGTCTCTTTATAAGAGATTTATCCTAATGTTTGAATGAGTTCTAGTGTTTGCAAAGAATAGGCTGAAGTCTATTGCTAAGTTTTCTCAATTGTTATAAATAAATCCTGCTAAAGACAGTCATTCTATATTATAATTTCTTATCTTATTTTTTTCTTATCTTATCTCTTCTCTCAGATGCCTATCTCAATTATCTTATCATAGGCATCTATCATACTATAGATTAGTTGCCATGACTATATCAGACAACTCATATATTGTGCTACAGCTTATGATAAACATCTCACTAATGAATGATACCTATTGTTTCATGCATAGATACCATGCTCTTTAGTTCTAACTCATAGACAAATACAATAAGTAGGTACTATATTTGACTTACTCAGAAACATATATAAGTGGCTAACTCTCACTGTAGTAGACTCAGCTTTAATAGGAACTGTGGCATATAAAAAACTCACCATAGCAATAGTATAGCAGAGCAACAATAACAAACAAAAGCAAGAGCACAGTTATTGTTATTCCAGACAATGAGCAGAGGGCATGAAAAGCAGACAATAGTCATCTGTAGAGCATAGAGTTCCTTAGACAGTATATAAGATAGTAGTACACACTGATGTACCTCAGTCTTGAGCTAAGGTTTAATACACCTACTAAACTCTCTGACTATCTGATGCAAATACTCTCACCACAATAGCAGACTATCTCTACTAGCCATGCTCTTTTATCTCTCTTTGTGAAATCCTCATTGCCTACTTTATTATTCTCATTATACTTTTATATCAAAACCAGACCCAGACTCAGAATCCAGAGTTGGACCTTAGCAGAAGTAGTGCTGAAGATTTGTGAGTGTTAGTAGAAGCCTAACATACATTCAGTTTCCTTTGCAAGGTAATTGCATAGGAAAAGAGAAGGTAGAAGCTTTAAGCTAATTGTTAGACTTGCTCAATACATGATTCAAGCATATGATAAACTAATGCTGTATTGAATTCATACAGTCATACTAGAGTCTACTTGATGTACTTGAGGTGTGTTTTTAAGGCCATAGCAGGTTTGACTCAATAGAGAAAGTGATATGAATAAACTTTAGTTTAAAATGTGGGATAGTGATGATTACCACATTGTTCCTTGTTATCTTATTGTGCATTGATGAATAAGGCATAGCCATAGTGTCATCATGTCTTTATCATCTTTTATAAGGTCAGCCTGGGATTGGGATTAGTAAGCAGCTGCTTACTAAGCATTGACAAATCATGATTTAGAGGCAAAAATCATGACATTACCTCCTTCTCAAAGCAATTATCCTTGATTGCTCAGAGCAGCCCAGGGAAAAGAGATTGTGCTTCATCCTTGCCATCAATTTCAGTGGAAACATCATTGGTGCAGTTGAGAAAATGGGATTGGTTGACAAAGGTTTCAGCAGCTAGATTATTTTCTTCTCACCATATAAATAGCTTTTTGCATTTAAAGAAATGTCAGTCTTTTCTGAAGGGCAATCATTGCATATGGATATAGTCTGACTTGTCAAATATTGGTTGACTCAATAGAGCAAAGTTAATAGCTGCCAGAGAATTTTGATGTGTCTAATATTTGGCAATGAGAGTTTTTGCATGTGAAAGGTCTTTTTCTGCATACCATCAGTTTTTCTCATTATCATACCTCTTGAAATAGACTAAAAACCACTGTTTTCTGTATTGAATCTTATTATCAAGAATAGTATTAATTTCATATTCATCTTTATTATCAACTACAGGTTTAGGTGGTA